GCTTGTTCGATTGGTTTCTTATAAGAAATGTAACGTTTTAAGGATCAGTGAGTGCGATAATATAAATCGATTCTGTCTTGGATTTCATGAGTTATCATGGTTTTCATTTTGCTGGAGACTAATTGGTCATTCGAAATCTATTGTTGGCTGATTTTTTTTAATAGAGTTCAAAAGACAGTTTTTCCTTCAGCTCAGAAGAAAAAAACTGCAAACAATATCATTTACATGATGTTTTTTCGAACTTTTCATGAAAAAAGTTCCATAACTTTGGTCAATACAAAAAAGCCAAAGTCGTCACTATGCCGTGATTATTTTTACGTTCTGCTCATGACCTCAAGTAGTTATTAACCAAAGATGAAATTGCCGATTTAGCTGTAATAATTTCACACTGTTCTCATCAAATGATTTCGATTGTTTTTCAGAAGCAAAAACCATTACAGTACTTTCATTACTGTCACAGTATTCTCATGGCATGAAGTTAAGTATTAATTAAAAAAACGAAAGCTAAGGTATTAGCTTCATTATTTCGGCATCATTTTTATCAAATAACTTCGATTATGTCTTAAAAGCCATAACCATCATGGTACTTTCATTATTTCTCCATAACTTTCATTTCGTTAGACTGTTTACTGTAGAAAAACGAATATTAATTCACTATCTTTGCATGTTTGTCATGTGATGAATTTAATTATTCTTGAAAAATGAAAACAACTCATCTTCCGTGCGTTAATAGACTCATTTGTTATTGATGTAAAGCATCAAATTTCTCTTTTCAACATTTATAGACATAGACGTCTCCGTTTAACACGTTCGAAAACTAAACAGAACTAATTCCATGCTTTCAATGAAAAATGTTTTAATTTGCGATACATTCATGTGATATGCATCATGCAATAGATGAATTCACATTTTTTTGGAGGGTATGGGTGTGGATGTGGATGTGGGTGAAGACAAGGCCAAAAACCACACTCACACCCTCACCACCACCCCCACCCACACCCACCCTCTGTGTAAACTGTTTTTCTCAATATATTCTTGTCAAAAGTATCACCATTCACAAATAAACGTCTTTAATTTAGTTATCATATACTCTTACTTCGAACAAATTTAAAAAGATAAATTATCATATTATGCTCACTTAAATATATGTTCATCGGCTAATAAACTAAAAGTTTTCTACTTTCAATACTAAATCATAAAATACTCGTGTTATTCAATTTATTCAATATGAACAATGTTATTCGAACCTTATATTCGGTATGTACTGAATAACATATAAAACTCTATCCAAATTTTTGAAACCAATACTGAATCGTTTTTTTTGTTCACGTACGAATATGAGATAATTGAGCGACATTTCAAAACGTGACATGAAACTGCTTCATTTATTGACAATAGAAGACAAATAAAAAAAATCATCGCTCCTTTATTTTTGCTTCGTATATGGTGTGGACGTAGACATTCTCTTCGTTCATATTCACACTACTCGTACCTAATAAGCTTTAATGGTAAATTCGCTGTGTCATTGTACATTTTACCGTTTATTCCAGCATATCCAGGTGTGACTGTGCCTATGACTATGGCTGTGGGCAATAGCCTTATCAGCATCCACACACACCCTATTTCTTCCCTTTTTATTCAGCCACAATTGCCATAAGAGAAAATGCAGTTTATTTTTGACGAAAAGATATCGATGATGAATATTGGTAAGACATTAGACCAAGTTTTGTGCACGCATGCATTTGTGTGATCATGAAAAACACTCATTTTAATGCCATGGCCAATATGAAAACTAAGGAATAATGATTTTAATTTTCGATGTCGTGTTATGCAGTGTAATTATTGCATTTTAAAAATCGAAATATTCTTCTTCGTGAACAAAATGCATTTTGATGCTTAACTCTCCATCATTTACCCTATAGGGTACTACTAAAAAAAGATTTTACAAATTTCCATGAACACCGCTTTTCTTTAGCGTATTATACTACAGTTAGATTATTTCGCTTACGTGTAAGATCAATAGAGGTTACTTCTCATGTGGCTAGCTATGCCATGAATTTTATTCTCTGTATCACTAACTTGCAAAGTCATTCTAATATCGACATTTGACTTCTTACTATTCTTCTTATTCTATAAAAAATTGTCTAATGTTTACTTCCCCATAAGAGAAAAACCGAAATAAAAGCATGACAAGTGTGCTACAATATGCACATTCGCAACCATGTTACTTATCTTCCTAGGAGTTTTATTTCTTCTGCCAACGATTACTATTACTTCGAAATACTATACAATAAAACCATATCATAAGTAAGTAATTCTTTGAACATTGACACACAATGTAACTTTGACTTGTTTTAACATTTCTAAATCAGTGCCGACATCTTTTCACAGTATGGTAACGTCTCTGTCTTCGATACTACCCAAAAAGAACTATCCGATATTGCCAATTTCACCTTCGATGTACATGATCAGTCTGATTTCTGCTATTTTATTGCTGGTCCGGTTGCAGTAAATCCCGATCTGCATCTCATCGACATGCCTATTCAATGTGCTACTTCATTTCAACGTTTGTTACTGTTCTCATACAACTATAAAACTAGAGAATATCGTCAAAGTAAATGGATTTTACGCGATGGAGATTTTCATTCCCTACACTATGATCCTTTATGTAAAAGTCTTTTTGGATTAAGAGATGTTGCTACATTTACGATGTTTATCGAAGAGTATGATACAGTAACTTTAGACGTTGTTAAAGTTTATACAAAGCAAGATGGTGAGAAATATACATTTCCATTTGCCAAGTGTTCCTGTTTTGATTACAATGAAAATTGGGTATTTCAAGTGCGTACACGTTTTGAAAATCCAAGTGTTAATGCATATTGGCTTAAAATGAATTTAAATTTAGTTGGAGTAAAAGAAGATATCGTTACAGATTTTCATTTGATGCCAAATGTACATAATTTCTTAACGATGACATATGATATTGAGAAGACAAAGTTGATTTTATGTACATGGCAACATGGTTCAATTGAATTGAATCTTTTTATGTTTCATCTAGATCCACATCAAAGTGGAAAATTTCCATATAAGAATGAATCACTAGTAATGTTATTTAAAACAAAGAAAGGAGAAGATATAGAAGTCACAAAAGATGTATGGAATCCAGTGAAACGTGAAGTGTTGTTTATGATATAAACTCGGAATGATGAGACATTAGAGACGACAAATTATATGTAAGAGTTCAGTTTGATACATTGGTAATACTGAAAAAGACAGTTTTGACAGATAAACATTTGCCATTATTTGAATCATGAGAATATTTTTATTTACCTGACTACTAAAAGTTAAGCAAAAACAATATACATCGATGTCACGAAAATCGCAAAAAACAGCGATTAATCGCGAAAATTTTTAGATTCTCTTCTTTTTTCTTGACTGATTATGTCTGTTTGACATGCCGAATATTGCACAGAGTCCAAAAAACATATTTATCTATAAACAATAAATTATTCTGTTGGCTTGAAAGAGGACCCACCGTCGATTCTCTAATTCCCAACAGGCTGTGGGTGTGGGTGTAGATTAAGACACAATTACAATTCACATCCACACACCGACACCCACATTGATACTTACACATTCTGTTGTTTTTCATCTATACCGATATAGGTGGAAAGCAACAGAAAGAATGCAAAATTACGTCATCGTATATGTTACTATTAAATAGTGCTAATGTAATTGCACAATTTCAGTAACATTCAACTTAAAGTTAGCCTATACAGAATTTACTTTTGTAGAAAAACTGCAAAAGTAAATTCTGTCATTTTCGATAATCTTTCTTTACACATTGTCAATTACATATCTACTCTCTGCTGTTAAAACATACAAACTGTAATGGTTGTATTTGTGAGATAGACCATTAGATGGGAGAATATTAGTGTTAAATTCAATAACAAAGACAAAGAAGTGAAACATCGAGTCTGCAGAAACAATATTTAATGAAATTTCTGGAACAGGTACAAAAAAGAGAAATATTATGCACTAAATTTCAGAAATCAATAATCTAGGGTTGTGATCATCGTCAGGTACTTATAAAAACAATTATCCTACGAGAATATATTCACTGTAGTCTATATTTATAATTTACGTAAGCTATCAGGATATATGTAAGTTCGAAACTTTTTGCCCCAAGGGACTGTGCTAACCAGCCTATCATGCATTTTACCTATGTACATCTCGCAGTTCTTATACTTTCAATCAATAATTGTAGTCTTTTCTTCAACCAGCTGAAGGACTTTGTGGACTTTCTATCCAATGTTGAAAGAATCCGATTATAATTTCTTGTATATGTGAATATTGAGCCTCATGCAGTTACTTTCTTAATGAACGAACAGTAGAGATTAACAAAAGTTCATGTCATTTTGAACAATGTGATCGTTTCTTTAAAAGTATTGAATTTTTTCACAAAAAGATTTACTATTAATTGCTTATTTTAGGCACCCAATGGAGCAAGACCCAATCACTTTTGTTGATTATCTATAAATTGAAGATTAGATAAAAATCTGTTCACGCATAGGCAGAAATGACTTTCTAACTAAAAGCTAGTTTGCACTGAACATGTCGGATGTTGTAGGCACTTGAATGAGGTGTGATTTGATTCGAAAAAGTTTTTGTCGTAGGTCCATAGCATCTGATAGATTCTGATTATAAACGAATTAGATTAGAAATAGTCCGTGTCTAGTTCCCTTCCCAGAGAAAACTAAATTGAAAAAAGGGTTTTGTGAACTTAAATTGATATTGTTGGGTGTGGGTGTGGGTGTGGGTGTGGGTGTGGGTGTGGGTGTGGGTGTGAGTGTGGGTGGGTGGGTGTGTGGGTGTGTGGGGGT